GCTGGCATATTTTGTTTCAGGTAAAGTAGCAGCAGTGTTCAAACCTTTATTCCATGTCTTTTGATAATAGCTCCATTGTTGAAACAGGGTTCATACAGATAAGATTTTTAATTAGAGTTTTCAGACTGTTTTCTATTACTAGGTTGTCTGAACAGACTGTCACATCACTGTGCAGCATCAGTACAAGGGCAACATGTTAATTTTATTTTAGACCTTTTTAATCAAATGACAGAGAAAGTTCTGGGTGCTATCATAATTATTTATTTAAAATTAGACTATTATTTAATTTCAGTTTTCATAATATTTTTTTCTCTTCTCAACACTGGCTTTGTCTTTCAGCAGATATCTGTTAGAAGATCAGCTAAAATACCAATAGGTTAGTCTTCATAGCATAGCTTAGGATGTAGAAAGGACTTAAAATTCACTTTAAACTATTTACTTGTGCATTTTTGAGGATTAAAATCTTATGCATCTTTCCCTAAGCATCAGTTGCTTTGATTTTTTTTTTCATCTATGGAAGAATTAAAATGCACATTTTAATGCATAGAAGGGAAAAACTCTGTAGACATATGCTTTCAATAAGAGTGTATATTTAACTTAAAAATTGCCTGTTGGTGAGCAATTCTTGCTTAAGCATGCATGATGCTGTAATACAGTTTAATCATACAAGACCTTTTCTGTGATCTGGAGCCGTGTTTTTGTATTCTTTGGCAGTAGGAATGCTCAAATGGATTTACGCGTATCCCTTTTTTCTGAGCCAAAAAAATTACGTTCAAGACTGGGAGTATATGTTAAGAATACAAAGCTGGCCAATACCCCCAAGTGCTGTGCAGCCTTTCAGAAAGACCGCAACAGGTTGGAGAGTTGGGAGAGAAGAACTGTCTGAAATTCAACAAAAGCAAATGCAGGGTCCTGCACCTGGGGAAGAACAACCCCAGGCACCAGTACAGGCTGGGGGTGACCTGGGGCTCCTGGTGGACAAGTGTGTGCCCTTCTGATGAAGAAGGCCAACGGAATCCTGGGATGCATTAGAAAGGTCATTGGCAGCAGGTCAGGGAGGTGATCCTGCCCCTCTCCACACCTGCAGTGCTGTGTCCAGTTTTGAGCTCCTCAGGACAAGAGAGACATGGAGCTCCTGGAGTGGGTCCAGCAGAGGCTGTGGGGATAATTAAGGGACTGGAGCACCTCTCTTATGAGGAAAGGCTGAGGGAGTTGGGGCTGTTCAGCCTCAAGAGGAGACAGCTGAGAGGGGACCTCATCCACGTCTGTCGGTGTCTGCAGGGAAGGGTCAGAGAATGGACCAGGCTCAGCTCAGTGGGGTCCAGCAATGGTACAAGAGGAATGGGCAAGAACTGATGCCCAGGAGGTTCCACCTGAACTTGAGGAAGAACTTCTCTGTGCAGTGACTGAGCACTGGAACAGATTGCCCAGAGAGGGTGTGGAGTCTCCCTCACTGGAGATATTCCAGACCCATCTGGAAACAATCCTGTGCTGTGTGTTTTGGGATGACTCTGAGCAGGGAGGTGGGACCACATTACCCACTGTGGTCCCTTCCAACTTGACCCATATCCTGTGATTGTGTGAATGTTATTCGGTGTCTGCAGGGAAGGGTCAGAGAATGGACCAGGCTCAGCTCAGTGGGGTCCAGCAATGGTACAAGAGGAATGGGCAGGAACTGATGCCCAGGAGGTTCCACCTGAACTTGAGGAAGAACTTCTCTGTGCAGTGACTGAGCACTGGAACAGATTGCCCAGAGAGGGTGTGGAGTCTCCCTCACTGGAGATATTCCAGACCCATCTGGAAACAATCCTGTGCTGTGTGTTTTGGGATGACTCTGAGCAGGGAGGTGGGACCACATTACCCACTGTGGTCCCTTCCAACTTGACCCATATCCTGTGATTGTGTGAATGTTATTACTAGGACGATGTTTTCTCAAAACTGAGCATTACCAACAATCAAAATTGAAGTTGCATTTAAAAGAAATTCTTAAGTATTTTAAGGTATGGAGATGCACAGTGGAGCCATAAATCTGCTGCTTAGTGATATGAACAACAGTGTAAAAAAATGTACAAGAAGATATTTTACTGTTAATGACCACAGACTAATTTCAACTCCTTTTTAGACTAAATGTTTGGGCTTATTTTTACTCCTTCCTCATTACATCATTATTAGACAGACTTGTTATCTGTCTGAAAACTTTAGAGACACTGTTGTGGTAGGGGATTTTTTTGGTTGGTTGGTTGTTGTTGTTGCTTGGGGGGTTTTAGTGGGGCAAGGGGAGGGGGATGGGCACTGGGGACTTAAGGTGTTTTGTTTGGTTGGTTTTTTTGAAGTTCTCTAGATTGTCTCCCCTAACAGAGATAAAGAGTTGAGAACTGCCTGTCACAGAATAAGTTTTAGGTTTTTTTAAATGGCATTAAAATGTATTACTTTTTCTATTTTCTGTCATACTTTTTTAAACCAAAAGCGTGTTTTAAATTCACAGAGGAGAAAAGAGATATATTTTTCAAGTATTTTAAAAGTGCAATCTTTGTTTTAAGCATAAAATGAAACTTCTGCATAGTTAATGCTCATACTGGCACATTCTGTCAGCTTTCTTTACATGAATGTTAAGGGTTATTAGTTTGACTAACTACTACCTAGCTGTGGTGAGAGTGGCTGTGAGAGGTGAGTGGGCAGTGAGCATGCCAGATGCTGCCTCCAACACCTCTGGAGTTTCCTCCTCGCTTGCCTCTGTGCAAGGCAACCAATGTTCATTTAATCAAATTTTGCAGGAGTTGAGGAGTCCACTTCTGTTACTCTGGACAATGAAATGTCCTCTGTACTGAAGTATGGAGGTCTCTTTATTTATTTATTTTTCAACACAATATGAGAATTTCACTCCTGCTCTGGGCTAGTTTTTCTGGGCTAATATACTTGGAATGCAGCACTTCATACCTACCAGGAGGTAGTAATGGCTTCATTCCTGGGGGATTATTCCATCACTTCTTTGTTGGGGAGAGGGGAAGAGAAAAGAGGATGACAAGGGGGATTTCTGAAACTAGCTTTGCTTGTGTGAATATTGCAGTAATTGAAATCAGTGATAGTAATACAAAGATTGATGACTCCCAAACACTCTGGATTAGTCAGTCGTCTATCTAAACTGAGGTTTAAATATTTGCATTGCTGATGTGCTTTTACCCATGGCTTTGGATCACTTGCTGTGGCTTCCCAAGCTGCAGTGTTGTCCTGGTTTGGAATGGGAGGAAAATTCAGGGAAGTAATGCAAAGCTTTTTGTGTAACTGCCAGTCTCTTGAACCACTGAGAAGCTGGACACGCCTCTGTGAAACACATGTTAAAGACAAAATAACCCGGCAACTCCCTCTTTTCCTTTCCGGTCGGCGAGGAGGTGGCGGGCCCCCGTCTCGGCCGGGCCGGGCCCCTTCCCCCCTCCCCGGGCCGCCCGCCGGCCCCCACCATCGGCTCCGGCCGGGCCGGGCCCCAGCAGTGGCCGGGCAGGAAGGCGGGCGAGGGGCTGCAGAGCCCAGGCCGGAGCAGGGCTGGCCGCGGCTGTTAAGATCTCGCCGTCAGGCCTCCTCCCCCCAGCGCGGCTGAGACCAGAGACCCCTGCAGCCCGTGCAGAAAACCAAAGACCAACCATGAGGCCGATCCTAACACAGCCCAGCCGCTGCTCCCACCACAAGTTACCGGCGGGTCAGGTAGGCCCTAGGCGGGATGTTAACCCTTTCAGTGCTTCGATCCTCCCTCGAGTGAGAGAAAGAAACAAGATGCAAGCATGTAATGGAACCAACATGAAGACATCGAATTCAGCGTGGAAGAAGTTAAGTCCCAGATTGGAGGGAGGAGGAGATGGCTTGTTTTTTGGAGCTGAAATACTCATGTAAGCTATGGAGAAAGAACTCTTTTTCCTTATAACACATGAAATTATGGGGAGATGAAAGTGTTCAAGTTGATATTGAGCAAAAGCCTCCATGCTAAGATAAGCAGATGTTGAAATGGCTGTGATCCTATGAGAAGTTTGAACAGAGGAAGAGAGTAGTCCTGTGCTTCCAGGAGAAGATCTCTGTTCCCAGGGATGAAGATGATTTTAGAAATAGACAATAAGGAGAACTTTTGCCTTTGACCAGCTCATCTTTAAAACAATACCCCATACGTTGACATGGCCCATCGACAAGCTGTGGGAAGGCTTGTGGAAATGGGAAGGACTTCATGATGGCAGGGTTCCCTGGGCAGCTGCTGTTCATGACAAATTGAAAGCCACGAGAGAACTGTTTCCTCTTGTGGAGAAGTCTCCATAACCTTAACAAGAGGGACTTCTCTCCCTCAGTGAACTGAAGAAAGACTATTTTAGAGGTGGTAAACTGACTGGAAATCTTGGGTGTGGTTTCTTTACGTTGTCAGTGGGAAAGAAAAGGTTGTGGGGGGAGAAGAAGTGTTCTGGAGGGTTTGTTTTGATTCTTACTACTTTTTTCCTTCTAGTTACTTTTAATAAAATTTTCTTTATACCCTCTTAAAGTTTTGAGCCTGCTTTGCCTTTCACCTAATCCTATCTCACAGCAGGAAGTGAGTGTATTGGTGATTGGCCAGCACCAAACCTACCACATTCTGTGGTGCATTGGCTGGGAAAATTTCAAATTGGGGAAATCTGAAATTGGCGAACCTAAACCACAACACGAAATTGGTGTTTCTGCCCAGTTTCAAACTGAAACTACCACAAGTGTGTATGTGAATTCTGATGCTGTTTTAGCTGCAAGACATTCAATTCTATCATTAAAATCACCTGGTTAAAAGTCATATAAGTGCTTGTGTACCTGTACCATTTCAACTTCCAGTGTTATGTGGTGGTTAGAAATTCTTTATATCTGTATGGAAGAGAGAAAACAAAAAAGATTAATATAAATTCTCCCTAATAAAGATGCAAGTTAGTTCCAGGTCCATTGGTACTTGTGGCTTGCCATCTAGTACAACTCCTGAATTTTCAAAGCATGACTGTGGGAATCTACAGGCTGTTGGAGACTACAGATGGGATACTGGTGGTTCTTTGCAACTGAAAATATTTCAGCACCTTCTTTGATAACATTCCTTTTAAGTGTGGTGGAGATGGAATAGAAAGCTGTTGTCCCTGGGTAGAAAGGAACCACTAGGGCATTAGGGGAGCAGGGAGAATATCTTGTACCACTCAGCCTGAGATGATTGTTTCTTGTACTTGATCTAAAAATGGGAGATAAGTTTTCTGTGTTCTTCTGAGTTGTTGTGAAGTTTCCAAATCTTACTGTCACACTGAGTACTCCACACACAAGTCTGGGGTGTGGAGTATGTGGCCTGTTATAAAATGTTATTGTTTACTAGCAGGTTTTTGTCTAAGGAACAGAGGAGGGAACTGCTGTTGATATTTATTATTGAATTAATACTCCTTTAGGAAACATTCTTTTTATGTCATGGTGTAAAATGGACATCTTACATGAAATCAGTCTTTTAAAAATGTTTTCTAACAGTTGTAGATAGAAGATGTCAATGTTTGTAAAGTTTATAATGTCTTTGTAAATAATTTCTGAAATGAGAGACTTCATTTATTAAAAAGGAAATGCATGTAAAGTAATGCTGCTATCTTCTTAATAGGGATGATGATGTCGCAGTTTAATATTTCTCAGAACTCCATGAGAGGTAGTCCTGCATCTTCTAATTATCAACAAACCACTATCTCACATAGCCCTTCCAGGTAACATTCTCTTTTAAATGGGGTGGGATGGGCAGCAAACTGCAAATTCTATCTACAGTGACAGTCAATTCTTTTTGCAAGTATGTGAATGGAAGGTGATCAGTGTCAGGATATATTTTGCATTTGTCTGACAGCAGGGTGAGTTTCTTCAGCTGGAAAAACAACATGTTTTTGCTAGTGAGTAATCTTTGTATTCTGATTAGTCAGGATTCCCTGCTGTCCCTCCCTCACATATTTTTGGCACTTTCTTTCCTGCTAAAATAATATCCCTGCCTCCTGACACACCTACAGCTATTTTCTACCTGTGGCAGGAGAACAGGAGAGAAGAGGCTATGTGTTCCAGCATGTATAACATTACCAATGTGACAGAAGGGTGGAAAAGAAGTCTTGTAAAAACATGGAATACTGCTGTAACAGTTATACAAAAGGCTGCTCAGAGGAGGATAGGCCCAGTAATTTGGCCAGTCTTCCATGAGCTTTCTCATCAACTTTCGGGCTCTTTTTCAAACTTTGAGTGTCAGCAAGTAGCATGTACCTATAGAATCATTTAAGTTGGAAAAGACCTCTGAGATCATCAAGTTCAACGTTAACCTAACACTGTCAGGTCCACTACTAAACCGTGTCCCTAAGTGACATATGTACACACATTTTAAATACCTCCAGGTTGGTGACTTAATCACTTCCCTGGGCAGCATGTGCCAGTGCTTGAAAAACCTTTTGGTAAAGAATTTTTTCCTGATATATAATCTAAACCTCCCCTGGAATAACTTGAGGCCATTTCCTCTTGTCCTGTTGCTTGTTACCTCCTTTCAACAATAAAGTGTCCCCTGAGCCTCCTTTTCTCCAGACTAAACACCCCCAGCTCCCTCAGTCTTCTAAAAGAAATAAGAAATTTGTATAAATTTCCTTTTCCAACTTTTTCCAACTTTTACATTTTATTTTTTAGCCGTTTTGTGCCACCACAAGCAAGCTCTGGTAACAGATTTTTGGCACAACAGAACAGTCCAGTGCCTAGTCCATATGCTCCTCAAAGTCCTGCAGGATACATGCCATATTCACATCCTCCAAGTTATACACCACATCCTCAGATGCAGCAAGGTAAGTCTTTGATATTTATTTTATTATCCTATCTCATGTCAGCTTTACCTCCATGTGTGTGTTTCACAGCTCTCTAATTTCTTTGAAGGAGTCACATGCTTAATGCAAATCTTGGAGTTGGTAGGGAATTTTTTGGGTATGCTTAAGCTTTGCTTTCCTGACTGTACAGTGGTAGTATTTATTTTATTTCAAAAAATCCCAGAAGGATCATCAAGTCCAACTCTTAAGTGAATGGCCCATATAGGGATTGAACCAGTGACCTTGGTGTTAATGCACACTGATTTTGCATAGTTGTCACATATACATGACAGTAGAAAAATTTTTAAAACCCTAAAACTTTTTATTTGTTAGCTATGTGTCATGGATTGACTCTGGCACAGTGCCAGTGCCCCCATGAAAGGTGTATTTCTCAAAATGGTTACTGTGAGATGTGACCCGGGAACAGAACAAAGCAGGCTCTAACTTGGGAATGGAGGGAAAAACAACACTTTATTAATCTACATAGACACAAAAGGAAGGGAAAAAAAAACACACACACAACAATCCACAATAGAACACTTTCAATGACACTATGGCAGTTGTTTATCTGTACTGGCGAAAACAATTTTTGCCAGTGTAATGTAAATTTTGCTGCCAACTTATTTGACCGTACCAAACCTTTGCAGTGTAGGCTAGGCTAAGTTGGCTAGAATTATACTCAAGATATGCAGTAACTGGCAAAGATGACCTTCAGAATTAATGGATTTCTTTGTTTTTCCCTTTTCTAAAAACAATCTTGAACAACATGAACACTGTTAAGTATCTAGGCATTATCGTTTATTGGAAGTAGAATTCTTGTTAGATTCTTTTAAATCATCTGTTCCTAAAGTTTAGCAGTGTGCTTAGAATTTATATAGCTGTTCTGTATGTAATGTTATGTGTCTCATGAATACCTTGGAAGTTATTTAAGGTAGACAATGCATATTATATAGAGGAAAATAAAGTTTTCTATAACCTATGAGTATGATGCTGACTGTAATTAGGATAGATGTGGAGTGAAGCTTGGCTAATCTGTACATGGAATTTAGGTTTAAGAGTCTCTTGAAAATTTAAAACTTAGATACTAATTTTATTCAAGGTATTTGTGGAAAAAAGATTCCGTGAAGAAAGTTGGGATTCTTGTTCCAATCCTAGACCTCTTGCATTCAACTCATTAATATTATGGCCTTTTCTGTGAGATTTTTTAGAGTTAATGATTTTGTGACTATATTGGTATAATTATTTTTATTTTTCTGTATTTCAGCTTCAGTATCCAGTCCCATTGTCACAGCTGGGATGAGGAATCTCCATGAAAATAAAGTTTCAAGTCAGTTGTCTGGAAATTCAGCTAATCACCATGCTGATAATTCTAGACATGGCTCAAATGAAGACTATCTACAGATGGTGCACAGGATAAGTAGTGATGTATGTTAGCTAGATCAGTTTATGATGATAAAACAAATATTTACTGTGATAAACCAAGTATGTGTTTAGCTGCCTTAAAAGTCAGATATTTTATGAGGATGCTGTTGATGAATAAAACCACTGAAAATATATTTTGGTTTCAGATGTGTGCACTCAAATGTGCAACTTTAATGTGCAAGTTTTAAGATTTTCTAGATCTCTGTCCTTTGGAACAGTTTGTGACATTGATTCTGATGAAAGTATGAAAAGTAAAAAATCTTACTCATGTAAGTTTATTATAAAGAGATGGTATAGTCTCTCTGCAATTATTGTATCAATATATTGATGTAAACAATACTAGATTCTAAATAGGTTTATAGTCAACATGTCTTTCTGAAGATTCCCCTAACTGTCAATTAGATGAGACAATTCCATAACCTATTCAGTAATACAGTAGTGTTGTCAAAGGCAAAAATTGCATTCAACATTTTTTCTTACAGATCTATTATGTGCTTTTATGGCCTGGTTTATTTATAATATGTTTTTCTAGTGACTTGATTTCACGTGGGAGAAATTCTTGCTAAAGTATTGAATATAAGTGAAAAAAATCAGCAACTTTTTCCCATGGTGTTTTCAACTTCTTCACTTTCTTAATGAGCATCTCATCCTGTGGATGAAGCATGTTGTGACTCTTCTTTACAAGTTTGGCACACAGTCTCTTAACACCTCTTAAGGAGACAGCACTTAAGTTTCATTTTTATTTTTTGCTTTTAGTTCTTTGAACTATGCGGTCTTAGTGATGCCTACAACAGTTACAAAACTTGATCAAAACCTGGTGACAAATGGGCCTTTTTTTGACCTTTTTTTAAAAGATGTATTTAATTTACCTTATGAAAACTAGGGACAACTCTTGTCTTCCTAAATTAGCTTGTGGAAGCAAAAAACTGCTGTATTCAACAAGTGTATTGATAACACCAGGCTACCTAAATTTCTTACAGGGATTAGTACACTGGAACTCTAAGACTGTTATTAGTTTTATTAGTCTTCTCTTTTTAAATGAAAGAATTATGCTGATGAAAAATATTAGCTAAGAAGTGATGTCTTCAACAAGAGAGTTTTGTAATGAAGGAATCTATCATAATACACAATCTCTTCAGGTATTTTTCTCAGTCTCTGCTTCAGCAATGCAAATTCTTCAAAATAAGAAGCTGTTCTTGGCATGAAATGAACATATATCCCCCAACTACTACCTCTCTAGTAGGTCACCCCCAACCTGTGCTGGTACTTGGGGTTATTCCTCCCCAGGTGCAGGACCCTACACTTGCCCTTGTTGAACCTCATTAGGCTTCTCTCTACCCAATTCTCCAGCCTATCAAGGTCCCCCTGAATGGCAGCACGGCCTTCAGGTGTATCAGCCACTCCTCCTAGTTTTGTATCACCAGCACATGCAACTGAAGTGCATCTACACCAATGCATGCAGCATGGGCAACAAACAGGAGGAACTGGAAGCCATGGTGCAGCAGGGAAACTATGACATAGTTGCAATCATGGAGACATGGTGGGATGACTTGCATGACTGAAAGGCTGCAATGGATGACTATAAACTCTTCATAAGGGATCAGCAAGGAAGGAGAGGCTTTAGATACCTCTTGTATGTTAGGGAGTGTTTTGATCGTCTGGAACTTGATGATGGTACCGGTAGGGTTGAGTGTTTATGGGTAAGAATCAAAGGGAAGGCCAAGAGCAGATCTCCTGATGGGAATCTCCTATAGACCACCCAGCCAGGATTAAGAAGACAAAATGTTCTGTGAGTAGCTGGGAGAAGTCTCATGATTGATGGCCCTTGTTCTCGTGGGGGACTACAACTTACCAGATCTATTCAGGAAATAGAGCACAGCAGAGGAAACAGTCAAGGAAGTACCTGGACTGTGTGGAACTGACACAGCTGGTGAGTGAGCCAATCAGGAGAAGTGCCCCACTGGACCTGCTGTTTGTGAACAGAGAAGGGCTGGTGTGGGATGTAATAATTGGAGGTCATCTTGGGCACAGTGATCATGAAATTATAATTTTCTCTTCTCAGAGAAGTAAGCAGGGGGATCAGCAGAACTGCCACCTTGGACTTCCAGAGTGCAGACTGGCCTGTTTGGGAGTCTGGTTGAGACTCACTTGGGAGGCAGTCCTGAAGGGCAAAGGGCTTCAGGAAAGCGGGAAAGGGAAGGCCAAGAGCAGATCTCCTGATGGGAATCTCCTATAGACCACCCAGCCAGGATTAAGAAGACAAAATGTTCTGTGAGTAGCTGGGAGAAGTCTCATGATTGATGGCCCTTGTTCTCGTGGGGGACTACAACTTACCAGATCTATTCAGGAAATAGAGCACAGCAGAGGAAACAGTCAAGGAAGTACCTGGACTGTGTGGAACTGACACAGCTGGTGAGTGAGCCAATCAGGAGAAGTGCCCCACTGGACCTGCTGTTTGTGAACAGAGAAGGGCTGGTGTGGGATGTAATAATTGGAGGTCATCTTGGGCACAGTGATCATGAAATTATAATTTTCTCTTCTCAGAGAAGTAAGCAGGGGGATCAGCAGAACTGCCACCTTGGACTTCCAGAGTGCAGACTGGCCTGTTTGGGAGTCTGGTTGAGACTCACTTGGGAGGCAGTCCTGAAGGGCAAAGGGCTTCAGGAAAGCGGGATGTGCTTTACAAAAGAAATCTGAAAGGAGCAGGAGCAGGCTGTCCCCATGTGCCGAAAGACGAGCCGGCAGGGAAGACTGGCCTGGCCAAACAGAGAGCTTGGAATGGAACTCGGGGAGAACAAGAGAGTGCATCACCTCTGGAAAAAGAGGCAGGCAGCTCAGTAGGACTACAAGGATGTTGTGAGGTCATGCAGGGAGAAAATTCAAACGGCCAAAGCCCAGCTAGAACTTCATCTGCCTATGGCTGTAAAAGATAACAAAAAGTGGTTCTACAAATACATCAGCAACAAAAGGAGGGCCAAGGACAATCTCCATCCTGTACTTGATGTGGAGGTAAACAGTGACAAACAATGAGGAAAAGGCTTGGCATGCTACTTAGACCCCCTCACATCTATGGGGTTGGATAGGATCCAGCCAAGGGTACTAAGGGAGCTGGCAGAAGAGGTCACCAAGACACTGTCCATCATTTACCAGTGGTCCTGGCCAACTGAGGAGGCCCCAGGTGACTGGAGGTGTCAATGTGACAGCCATAAACAAGAAGGGCCGGAAGGAGGATCCGGGGAGCAACAGGACTGTCAGCCTGACCTCAGTACCTGGGAAGGTTATGGAATGGATCATTTTGAGTGTGATCATGTGGCATGTGCAGGACAACCAGGGGATCAGGCCCAGCCAGCAGGGGTTTAGGAAAGGCAGGTCCTGCTTGACCAACCTTTTATGACCAGGTGATCCACCTAGTGTGTGAGGGAAAGGCTCTGTGTGTGACTACCTGCACTTCAGTAAAGCCTTTGATGCTGTCTCCCACAGCATTTTCCTGGAAAAGCTGGCAGCCCATGGGTTGGACAGGTGCTCTCTTCACTGGGCTAGGAACTGTCTGGATGGTCAGGCCCAGAGAGTGGTGGAGAATGGAGCTACATCCAGTTGTCAGCCAGTCACCAGTGGAGTTCCCCAAAGCTCAGTATGGGGGCCAGTCCTATTTAACATCTTCATTGATGACCTAGACAAGGGGATCAAGTACACCCTCAGTAAGTTTACAGAGGGCACCAAGTTGGGTGGGAGTGTTGATCTGCTGGAGGACAGGAAGGCTCTGCAGAGGGATCTGGACAGGCTGGAGCAATGGGACAAGGCCAATTTTATGAGGTTCAACAAGGCCAAGTGCCAGGTCCTGCTCTTAGGTCCCAACCCCATGTAGCTCCAGGCTGGGGCAGAGTGGCTGGAAAGCTGGCCACAGGAAAAGGACCTGGGCGTGCTGAGCGACAGCAGCTGAACATGAGCCAGTGTGTGCCCAGGTGGGCAAGAAGGCCAATGGCACCCTGGCTTGGATCAGAAATGGTATGACCAGCAGGACCAGGGCAGCGATTGTCCCTCTGTACTCGGCACTGGTGAGGCTGCACCTCAAGTGCTGTGTCCAGTTCTGGGCCCCTCACTGCAAGAAAGACATTGCGGTGCTGGAGCGAGTCCAGAGAAGGGCAATGGAGCTGGGGAGGGGTCTGGAGCACCAGGAGTAGTTGAGGGGGCTCATCCTGGAGAAGAGGAGGCTCGGGGGGGGCCTTCTCACTCTCTACAACTCCCTGAAAGGAGGGTGGAGCCCAGTGGGAGTTGGGTTCTTCTGGGGAACAAGAGACAGGACAAGAGGAAACGGCCTCAAGTTGTACCAGGGGAGGTTTAGATTGGATATTAGGGAAAATTTCTTCATGGAAACGGTCGTCAAGCATTGGAACAGACTGCCCAGGGCATTGGTTGAGTCACCATCCTTGGAAGTGTTCAAAAAATGTGTGGATGTGGCACTTGGGGACATGGTTTAATGGTCACCATAATGGTGGTGCTGTGTTATTGGTTGGACTTGATGATTTTAAAGATATTTTCCAACCTTAACAATTTTACGAAACTCATTCAAAACTGACCAACTCTGAAAATATAAAGCATACCATCATTGTTCGGTTTAATGGGAAAAAGACCGTGGGTAAAAAGTAAGTATGCCTTTAAAAACTGATTTTAGTAGCCATCCTGCAGAAAACAGTTTGAACAAGGTGAAGTAATTCAAGTTTTGCATTTATATATGAACAATCTTGTTAATCATAATGTTGCACCTTTTTTACAAACAGTATTAACATTGGCAGAGATAGTTATGATCAAGGATTATTAAATCATAAAATCTAAAACTATCTTGTTTCTTAGCTTTGGGATTTTGTTCTTTAGAAGTTAAAAATTTCTGCAGGATATTGTGTGTTTGCAATATTTGATTCTACTAAATCAGCAAGCATATAATTGAAGGTTCACTGTGCATATACTCAAGTAAAGGACCATTTTTTGAGAAACCTGAGAATCATAGAATGGCTTGGGTTGAAAGGGACCTTAATGACTATCATGTTCCAACCCCCTACTGTGGACACCTTCCACTAGACCAGGTTGCTTCAGGCCCCATCCAGCCTGGCCTTGAACACTTCCAGGGATGGGGCAGACACAGCTTCTCTGGACAACTTGTCCCAGGGCCTCACCACACTCACAGGGAAGACTTCCTTCCTAACATCTAATCTAGATCTACCCTCTTTCAGCTTTAAGCCCTTGTTCCTTGTCCTATTGCTACACTCCCTGATAAAGAGTCCTTCTCTGGCTTTGTTGCAGGCTCCCTTCAGCTATTGGAAGGCTGCTCTAAGGTCTCCCTGGAGCTTTCTCTTCTCCAGGCTGAAGAGTCCTAATTCTCTCAGCCTTTCCTCATAGCAGAGGTGCTCCTGCCCTCTAATCGTCTTGGTGGCCTCTTCTGGACTTGCTTCAGCAGGTCCATGTCCTTTCTGTGCTGGGGACTCCAGAGCTGGAGGCAGCACTGCAGGTGGGGTCTCACCAGAGCAGAGTAGAGGGACAGAATCACTTCCTTTGACCTGCTGGGTTGCACTGCTTTTGATGCAGCCCAGACTGCAGTTGGCTTTCTGGGCTGTTAATGCATGTGCGAACATGCCCAGAATATAAGTTTGTGCTTACATTTCACCATTTGTTGAAGTTCTCGTCTAGGAAACAGTAAATGAGGACTTCTACAGTAGCTGACTAATTTTCAGGAATGACGTGTGTACCTGAAAGATCATCTACCTAGTTAGTTAGTTCAGTTAATTTAATAAATGACATCTTTGCCTTTCTCCTTGGCAGTCCATGGGTAGAGGACCTCTCCCATTCTAATAAAAAATATAATCTATAAAAGTTACTAAGCTTTTGTTCCCCCCAGTATTTTGGTGGGTTTGAGATTTTTTATAATTCAATTATAATTAATGTTTGGAAAAATAATCTCCTTACTTTCAGTGTGTTAAATAAACAAGTAACTGTTACATCAGCAAATTTATTAATTTTGACTTGCAATAAAAAGCATGTAAGTTTAAGGTATAGTTGTTTTTATTGCATTGAATCAGAATATTAGATTTCTTTACACGTGAGGCTTTCTCACCAGGCAACGAGTGTTTTTGCAAGCAGTTAGAAAAATAAGTGTAATTAATAGCACATCATGAGGTATAGATTAATTTTGTTGTGGGAGGGGAAAAAAAATCTAATAGAATTGTTTTGTAAATGCCTATATATGATGAAATTGATGAAATCCGGTTTCTTATGAATTTATATTCTTTGCATTGTAAGCACTTTCAGTCCATAAATATAAAACTATTTTCTTTGTTCTTAAGCAGTGTGAACTATGCCTTCACAAGGCATAACATGCAGTGGCTGATCTACTGCTATCCATGTGGAAATTGGCATTTTGGCCATTGTCAGAGGGAGTGTGTAGTTGACATCCATCTATCTCAGTTGCCACAATGGGTGTGCTACAGATTTTGTTCAATCCTGATGTGTTTATGTTGGAGGGTATGAATGCAAAGTTTTGGTTTGCTTAACTGTAAAAGTAAGATGCATTCTGATAAACTTCAAGGGTAGGCTAATTTAAAAAATGCTGAATTTGTTTAAAAAAGAGAAAAATCTACTTATTATACTCAATTTCTTTCACTTGGTATTGTAGAGAGTTCATATTTTTGTTTTTCAGCTCTTTACTATATGTAACAAAAAAATTTCTAAATGAAATCTTAATGTCAACCAAAAGTGCTTATTTAGCTGGAAGACATACGTGGATTTATTTTTGTGTGCACGTTCTGGTTGTAAATTCTTAAGGCTGATTGTTTTTTTGAATTTTGTCTATGTAGTAGTCTAATAGCAGTCCAAGTGACAAAATTTTTTATATAAATAAATATTTTTAAATATTTTTTATGCTTTTTCATCCAGTTCATTTTATCAGTATATGTACTAATTTCAGTCTTTATTTTATGAAGTGTTCATGATTTTTTTTTTTTTTTATCATGGTCACTTTAGGATGGCGATCCTTCACTAAGGAATGCTGCATCTTTTTCCTTGAGGTCACCACAGTCAGTCTGCTCTCCATCTGGAAGTGATGGAACCCTTAAAGGTAATCTAGCAGTCACATATATCAATGTATTTTTTTCCCAGTTTTAAAACACAGAGTTTAAAGTTAGTTCTCCCAACTTCTGTATTCCAATAGTACTAAAGAGTATGTCATTAATTTTTCAATACAAAATTATTTTGAGCCCTGATTCAGAAGAAATTTCTGAAGGTTCAAAAATTGACTAATCATACTTCAAAACAAAACTCAAATTCATGAAGGACAGAATAATTTTAAATCCTTTCCAATATGAGGATTAAATTCTTTAAAGGAATGGTTTCAGTTGCTCTGCATAAGAAATTATTTAAAGGCAGCATTGCAAGTATTGAACTCTTAACCAGCTCAAAAGTGTTTTAACATATAATGCTTGTCTTGATTGCAATAATCAAATTCTATGAACATGAAATTAAAAGTAATTCAATGAACACAATATATATAGCATAAATGAAGCCTGAAAACCTTAGCTGTGGACAAGGAATAGGATAAACTGTAAGTCAGCTGAGAAAATAATTCTTTATGCTAAAATATGTAATGCTAAAATATGTAATGCATACTACTGTTTTTAATATTCTCCCTAAGAAGCAATGACCGAGATAGATGAGATTAGTAAGGTAGGGCTTTGGGCATATTCTTGTTAATTTAAGTATTCAGTGCTTATGTATTTACATGGCAATAGTAAAAAGAAGCAATAGTGTTTTCTTCTCTTTAATCCTGAAACAAAATTAAATCTTTATGGGTGGTCAGATTAGGTGGAGAGGGAGAAGAGGAGATGGGGGAGATTCCGGAGAAGGTGAGGGTATTGGGGTTGTGCAGCCTGGATAACAAGTCTTTGAGAGTGGATGTAGATGATGGTGATGACACACAATGAACAGACAGACCTTAGAGCAGTTTCCTCATGCCTATGAGATTATCAGGAAGACTTGAGTCAGGCTTTCCACAGTGTTGTGGAGCAAGGATGAGACACAATGGACTTAGATTGAAATGGGAGGTTCTGACTAGATATAAGGAAAACCTTTTTCACTATCAGGACAGTCAAGCATTGGAAAAGCCCAGAGAATCTGTGCATTTTTCATTCTTGGATGTTTTCAAGACCTGGCTGGATTAGCCCTGCATAACATGGTGTCGTGGTTTAGGAGTGATACTTCCCAATTCAGTGCCCCCACCAAGACTCTCCCAAACTATGTGCCCTTCTCTTGCTCTCCCATTTTCCATTCTCCTGCTGTGGTGGGTTGTGGGTCGAAGAGGAGAATTGGAGATACAGAGGGCAAAGATCATGGGTTGAGATAAGAACAATTTACTGGAAACAGCAATGAGATAAGAAAAGTAACAGTGACAGCAACAGTACTAATGACAAAGGGTGCAAGAAAGGAAATTATTCACATGGAAACCCCCCCTACAATAGCGGATGGCTGGATGGCTTCCTCTGCCCTGCTTACTCCGCTGGAAGGAGCCCCTTCTCCCCAGAAGACACTTCCTTTCCCCTTGCCCCCAGCAATGATGTTAGGTAGTACAGAATAACTTCTGGGTCCTGGCCATGCCCCCTCACAGCTACTGCAAAAATTAACCCTGTCCTGGTCAGAACCAGGGCACATGGTCTTGCTCACCCTGCTTTGATAACAAGAATTAACTAAACGCCTCCTGAGGTTCCTTCTTAACTGAATTATTCTATGATTCTGTGACTGCTAAATGATCACTGTGGTTCATCTTCTCAGGCATATGCTGTGGTAAATAGTGATAGAAGAAATGTGGCTCAAATGCAAGTGAGAAGTAATTGTATAGCATGCCAGCATCAGTATTTTAGGAGGTTTTGTGCTAAAGGACTTGTTGTGAGACTTATGTAAATGGCAGAGACTAAATGTGGTTGTTTTTCTTTAACTCTGTACACAAAATTGATGTTTGAGCTTATCAGTTTAACAGCATTGTGAATCTAAGCTACTTCCATTCAAATATATGATTACCATTGTCACCTAAAACTGGGAAATAAATGTTCCAAACAATTTTTTTATGTTAGGAAGCAAACATGGCTTTATCAGCAGTACTGGATGCATGGGGAATTCTCCTCAAAGCATGCATGCCCAGTAACCCACCAGACCAGGTTATATTCCTGAAACTAATATATATTCACCATATGTCTATTACATTTTCATCACATTTCCCGAATACATGCATACATGCTTGTTATTTCCAAAAACATATTTGTATATGAGTAGGGGTCTTTTGAGGGTCTTTGGTGGTCATTTGGGAACATCCCATTCCTTTAAATTCCCTTTTATGTTCCCGGATTATCTGATGAATCTTTCCTCCTTGAGTGTATCTCAAATATGTGGTCAGGTCACAATGCACTTCCCTTATCATTCTTTACTCCAGTACTCTCTCTCTGTTCTCAAAACTAAGACATCTGCTAGTACATATTAATCACTGATATAAGTAAAGAAGGAAGCATTAGCTGGCATAAGACTTATTAGTCACAGATGTAGGGAGTTAACACAAGGGCACAGTAATCTCTGGCATTTGTACTAAGCACTGTATGGTACAAAACTAAGCATTAACCACTAATATAGGGATCATATAGTATTGTGCTAAATTTAAATGAATTTTCTGACATCTTCCCCCACTGCTGCATAGACTTCTTCTTAAAGAAATATAACTTGTTTGGTAACCACTCAGCCAGAAGAATATTTGAATTATTTTTCTGGTTAAAGTTGCTGCTGTTTTAATCAGTTGTCTTGGAACTTGTTTTGAAGGTATACCTTTCATGAATATTTCTGAAAACAACTGATTGTACAATTCAGATTGTAACATTTCAGCATTCAAGAGGCTGGAAAAGCAGAAGAGGAGCTTTTTGATTCACCTGTGTGTTAGCTTTACTTTTCTCATTGATAAAGCACACAACTGAAAAACTGTTACTAATGGTGCTACCATTTTGACTTCTTCAAGAAATTAATTAACCCTGATTGAGAGAACCAGTTCTTGATGCCGCAAGAATCTTGCCAGATGTTTACTTCCTCTAATCTTGCATTTTAGAAATGTATTGAAGAGGTATAGATAATTAGTGCTATTTAGAATATGTGATCCCTGACAGTGAGGTTTTTTGCCTATAATTTGGAGTGAAAGTGATTGGTTATGCTGATAAATTTTCCAGTGACAAACAGCAAGTATCTACACTGAGCTTTTTGTTGCTACTATCATTTGTCCTTGCAAGTTTGGTTGACAAATTGCAAACTTTGATAAAGAAAGTTAGTAAAATAATTAATTGTTTGCTTGGGAGGACAAAACGAATGGCACTAGACACCAGTCCAGAGAAAAAACACAGGAAGGATGTTATATCTAATCTTTCTTATATAACATAGAAATGTGAGACAATTACTGAAGGTATGTTTACAGACTGCATTTCTGTACTTCTGAGATGGAAGTAGCAAGGACTTCTGGAGACTTGGAGACTGATTGTACAGCTCTGAATTACTTCAAGACTGGTGTGTCACGATGAATGATTACAGTCTCTTTAGGAGGGATAGGAAGGGCAGGTAAGGTTGGGGGGGTGTGGCACTATGTAATGGAGGGACTGGAATGTGTGGAGTTTACAGCTGGCCATGGCATGGTTGAGATCCTCTGGGTAAGAATCAAGGGGCAAACAAATAATGAAGATGTTGTTATGAAAATCTTTTATAGACCTTCTAGCCAGGACCGTGACATCGATGAATTATTCTTTGAGAAACACCTCTAAATCAACCACCCTTGTCCTTATGGGGAACTTGAACTTTCCAATTGTTAACTGGGAATATCACACAGCTGGTACAAACAGGTCCAGAAGATTGCTAAAACATATGGATGACAACTTCATGGAACAGGTCCTAAGGGAGCCGACTCAGAAAGATGCCCTCCTTGATCTGCTGCTGGTCAACACAGGATTTCATGAGCAAAGTGGTGATTTGCAGCCATCATGGCCACAGTGACCATGAAGAGTTTAAAATCTCTTGACAGGAGGAAAAGTGCCAGCAAAACCTCAACTCTGGACATGAGGAGAGCAGACTTCAGGCTGCTCAGGGAACTAGTGAGTAAGGTCCCCTGGGAAAAAACTTCTGAAGATGCTGGGGTCCATCAGTGCTGGTCATTTTTTAAACATCACCTCCTAAGGGCACAGGAGAAGGAAATTGCCCAATGTTGGAAGTCAAGCAGGGGAGGCAGAAGGCCAGGCATGGCTGAACAGTGATCTCCTATTGGAAATAAGGCTATAAAGGAAGGTGTGTGCCCAGTGGAAGCAAGGTCAGGTGGTATGGGAAGAATACAGAGATGCTGCTCGCCACTGTAGGGACAAAATTTGTGTGGCCAAAGCTCAGCTGGAGTTGGAGCTGCCAAAACTGTGGGGGACAATAAACAGAATTTTTAAAATACATTAATAGCAAAAGGCAGTGAAGAAATAACATTGGCCCATTACAGGATGAGGATGGTCACCTCACAAACAGGGACATGGATGAGACAGAGATGTTTAATGCATTCTTTGCCTCTATCTTCGGCTCCTCAAAGAGCTGCTGATGTCACCACGAGACCTCTCTCAATGATTTTTGAATGGTCTTGGGAATCTGGAGAGGCCTCAGCTGACTGAAAGCTGGCAAATGTCCCAATTTTAAAGAAGGGCAAGAAGGACGATCCTGGAAACTACAGGCCTGTCCGGCTCACTTGAGTGCCTGGTAGAATTATGGAGTGGAAGAGTAAAGTTGGGACAATGAACTTTAGGAAAGCAAACTTCCAGCTCTTGTAGGAGTCAGTCAATAGGAACCCCTGGGAAACTGCCCTCAGGGACAAGGAAGTAGAATAGAGCTGGCAGATGTTAAAGGAAGCCTTCCATAGAGCACAAGAGCCAGTGATCCCAAGGAGCAAGAAATTGGGCAAGGAAGGCAAGAGATGGGCATGTCTGAGTAGAGACCTGCTGGTCAAACTAAAGGCTAAGAAGGAAATGCACAGGCAATAGAAACAAGGATAGGTATCCTGGGACGAGTATAGGGATG